TTACATAACACTTTGTAACATGTGGAGAAAAGTGTTTATCATTGATGAATCTATCTTTTACATGTGTTTTCTGTTGAGTTACATAACAGAAATTACTCATTGAATTGTAAGGGTCCTTTATCATTATAAACATACTAGATGAAACATAAGAAGTATAGTTTATGGGTTGTACTTTTCAAACATACTGCATAAGAAGGGGATTTATTTCCACCACACAAAAATGTTTTATATTCAAACCACACATAAACTCGTTAACGTAAGTTGTGAGACAATTCTTCAATTGTACTCTTAGAGTACGGGTTAAAAATTCCTGTAAGTTATAATCATAATCTCTTGTAGGGAGAGCGTGATAATTGTATATAGATCTATATTGGGATTGACACCCCACACCTTGCTGCTAGCTACAGCGGGACCTGCAGGTCTACAGGTAACAAAAGTCATAGGATCTTGACGTCTGAAAAACGTTGTAGCGGGTTCATTCTAGTTATAGTATGGTTATAACGACTCACATAGGGTGTTAACAACATTTCAAGTTTATGGGAAAATTCTACTTTAAAAAAGGGTTTTATCTATCTAAAACTGCATATATCGTTTTAAGTACGAAATACGCACATACACTCGGTCTTGGGATTTAATACTACACGACTTTTTATAAGGAAAATATTGGATTTTTCTTGGGTACAAATTACAATTACAAACACGTTATAAGTACAAAATACGCACATACACTCGGTCTTGGGATTTAAGACTACACGACTTTTTATAAGGAAAACATTGAATTTTTCTTGGAGTATACGTTACATTTACAAACAAAGGTTTTCAAACTCTACATCCAAAAGCTTATGAACTCACCAACTTAATTGTTGACACTCTTTCAAAACTACTTGTATTCTCAGGAAACCAGTGAAACGGGTAACCAACAGCATTTTGAGGATGGGACGCAAGACGTCAATTTATACATTTTTGTCATCATAATGTAATTGATTTTGGAACATGTAAACTCATACTATGGTGTAAATTTTTCAATTATATTTATGATGGTTGTATTTACTATGAGCATTATTATACTTGTTGTTGTGATACTATACATGAAGTCATTCCCACCCCCGGACGTTTCCGCCATCCTTGGTTTGGGGGTGTGACAGTGCACTCACTCTAAAATGTCACATCCTTTCATCATGGAGCATCGACGATGCTCCATTCCATTCTCAGATGCTCTATTCCCTTCTTCGGTGCTCCACTCCCTTCTTAGATGCTCCATTCCTTTGTCACATGTTCCATTCATTTCTCACATGCTCCATTCATGAGAATGCTCCAAATGCTCAAGTCACATTTAACACATATTAAAATTTTTACATATTAAGGTTGTGTTTGACATGTCACAACTAGCTGATATGCTAACTTTTTTTTTAGCTTTTCTAAAAATTGTCATGTTAGGCAAGCCAAAAAGTACTTGATAAGCTAGCTTTTAAAAACTACTTAGACTAGTTTTTCATGAGTTTTTTTTTTTTTTTAATTTTCATAATATACCCTTAATTATTTATAAAATATTTTCTTCTAAATGTTTGTTTATATCTATTAGTTTTTACCAAACGCTATTTTTGTCAGTTATCTTCTAAGCTATCAGCTAGTTGCCGGTAAAGCAGATGAATATGACCGTTAGTACAGAGGCAGAGACAAGATGGAAGCTGCAACTGTCTTTAAAATGAAGAAGGTAAAAACAGAGTAAAAACATAATAAAATATTTTAGGGCATAAGTTTTAACAAATTATAGTTTGTGATAGAAATGTGATTGGAAAATTAATCCCATTTAATTAACATGTTTTATTAATTTGGTTTGAGGGCAATCTTGTTGTTTTTTACAAGAATTTAGGGGAAGGGGGTTAATGGTAACCGACTAAAAAATCAGTCGTGCAACTTTTGAGAATGAGCCTGGTCATAATTTGAGTACTTGGACTCAAACTACGTAAACCAAAGGCACCAAACCTGCAACTTACTCTTAGAAAAATGATTTCTCAAATTGCTAGCCAAATATGGCAGCCCGATCTTTATACAATTGAGCCCATTTCCTGATTCATGCCAATTGCCAAATAATATTTCAAAATGCAGCCCGTGATGGTTATTAAAGAAGCAAATGTGAGGTGCAAACACTATGATATTTAGTCGGCCATTACTGTGATTTAAAAGAAAGAAAAAAAAAACACATCAGGTACAAAACATCAGCATCGCACTAATTTTTCCGGATCGGACTTTTGTAAAATCTGGTATCCGATTAATTTTCAAATCAGAGTACGACGGATAGAGGTCAGATTCCTCAGAAGTTAGAAACCAGATTTTTATCCCTTTTTTTAACGGTTAAGACAAAACCCAACCTTTAATATATGAAAAAATGTCATTTTTGTCCCCGACTTCTTTTTAATAAATTTTCATACAAGCTTTTAGAGGTTTATCAAATAAGTTTTAACCCTTAAACGATGCGGGAACCAACAAACACCATTTATAAGATTAATAGCATAAAAATATTGTTTTATTTATTAGGTTGTTACTGATCAACCATGTCAATCTCGTAAAATTCTGACACAGAAACTAGTTAGGCCAATATAAACAAAGAAAAAAAAAAAAGAACCGGATGTTGTAAAAAACTGTTTTCTAATGTATCCGAAACCGATTACCTGGAAAATTATTATATGTGTTAAAACCAATTAAGCTTAGCAACAATATACTCTTTGGGTTTGAGACTTTAATCACAAGACTTTTGTATGTTGGTAGGTTTGGTCCCCTATAGTAATAGTATACTCTTTGTTTGGCATGTATGGTCCCTCTACAAAGTGGTATTTTTTGTAAGCACTAGTATATTTTTTGGATACGAGACTTTTACCACAAGATTTTCGTAAGTTAATAGGTTTGATCCCCCGGTAGAGTGGTATTTTTTTTTTTATCAAATTATGTCCTCTGTATAACAGAGGTAATATCATTCTAGCTTGTTATTAAAACCGAATAAAACCAAACTGGATTTCATCAAAAGTATTTTTCACTATTTATCGATAAGCTGAATCGAGTTATCGGGTCGATGTGCACGTCTAGGCTGACCATTCACGTGTCGAGCGTGGGCCACGGAGGATATAATTGGTCTTCAAACGTACGAACCCACGTCCTTGTACAACACTCAACACATTCTCAATAATTTTTCCAAATATATGCTTTAACTATATCTTATCATATTTTTATTTACAAAAAATATTAACAAATCAATATAGTCTAGCCCACGTTGACGCGTATGAATCAAAATAAACTTAGAATTAAACTTATTTTGATATCTTATTTAAACTCTAACACCCATTTTCTTTGCTTGTTACATATTTGAATATTTGACGTATCTTTTCTTGCTACTTTACATATTTGGTTGAGCATGGACAATAAAAGATTTTTAGGAACCTTTTTTAAATATTTTTCATTCTAAAAAGCTCACGAAAATTTAAAAAGATATTGGATGAGCTTTTTCTAACCTAATATTTTTTCAAGAAGCGTGTTAATTAACAAGCTTTTACCATGAGTTTTTTCAATAATTTGGTGGGCTCTATAGGTTCTCAATGAATTGTGAATCGACTTAGACAATGGTCTCACAAAAAAGCAAGTTTGAAAAAGCTCTATAGAGGTAAAACAAGTTTTTTTTTTTTCATTTAATGTTTTTTCATGTAAAAATCTATTAAAAGTTATCTTATTATGGATGTTTTGCGTATAGTCTTTTTATATCAATTTTTCTATAATAAAATATTATACAAATAAATTATATTCTATCTGGATGGTGTATATGAAACATTCAAAAAGACATTTAATCGGCCGGATTGCCACTCCCAAAAACCTAACAGATGCATCTTGCAAAAGAGCCGGCATTTTTATAGCCAATTCTAATATCACCTTCTTACTAAATAAATATCCAAACTAGGTCAAAGGGCACAAATGTGAATTCAACATAACTTTCCAAATTAATGAAGAGGATGTCCCAAATAAACAACCATGATGTCAACATTGCCACTAGTGAAAACAACACAAAGTTATTATATACTTGGTCGCAAGAATAAATCAGCAATCATTTTATAAGTTAGTTAAAGACAAAACTTCAAAAATGGTCCCTGTGATTTCCGAAAATATCAAGTTTAGTCCCTAAGTTCAAAAAATCTCACGGATCGTCCCTGTGGTTTCAAAACTTTTAACATTTGGTCCTTCCGGCTCACTCCGTTAAATTTTGGCCGTTAAGTAAAGGACATTTCTGTCTTTTCACTACCACAGGGACTATTTATGAAGTTTTGCCTTATTTATAAAAAAAATATTTAATATTAAAGGTCTCTCTCTCTCTCTCTCTCTCTCTCTCTCTCTCTCGTTTTCTTTTCCGTCTCACGAACATCACAAGGAAACCAAATATCCACCCACTGCTATTTCCCTCTCGTTCATATCTCACCGGCCGACCAAATTCAGGATTATATTGAATGATCAATGATAATCGGACTCGACCAAACTAAATTAATTGGTTGATTTTGGTGCTGAGAGAAGGTAATTTTGCTTAAAAACCAAAAGTTTGAGTCGATGATTTCCCTCTCGTTCTGTATTCAAGTTTGATTATGCAGGAGGTAAACATCCTCCTACGTCTTCTTCGTTCTCAGGTTATCGCACCAAAAAAAAAAACCGATTTTCATGGCTTTGAATGTGGAACTCGACTGGAGTTTATTATTTACGAAGGGTTTAAGAGGACTTATAGTGGTGGAGTAGCAGCAGCCGCACAGGTGGTGATGGCGGTGATTTGGAACAGCGATGGGGGTGGCAGGAGGCCACTCCGGTGGTCTTCTGATGCCATGTTCTTGCTTCCTTCGACTGTATTCAATGAAGGGAGTGTGGAGAAGGTCACTAAGTAGCTTAGGGGTGGGCAGGGACATGATCCCCCTGATAGCTGTTGTGATCCATTGAAATCAGTGATAAAATCCAATCCAGAGTGCTTGTGTAGTATGATAAGCAATCAAGGTACTAAAAATGCTGAGAATGTTGGTATCAATGTCACTAAGGCCCAAGAATTACCAGCAAGATGTGGTCAACGTGTTAACCCGATCTCATGCATCACCTCCACCTCTAAGACTACTCCAGGTATCACGATCGGATCGATCATACATTCCTCGACCTTTTTCTATCTTTCTTGTTTCTCTTCAGCAAACTTATAATCTTCATGTGTGTTTCAGGTACAAGTGATTCCCAAAGCTTAGGAAATTCCATGGTCTACTTATTGTACCCGTTAATGCTAATCGCATTTGTATATGCTTGATCCATTTTATTTTATTTTTTTTTGTTGCATGATTAAACTGAATGTACACAGGAGGTGGCGTTGGGCAGTAGGAGGCTGCTTCGGTGGCCTTCTGCTTCTTCTTTCTTGCTTAAAATTGCTAGTGAAAACAAATGGGATGAGGGAGAGAGTTGTGGTGATCGAAAACAGCAGTAACAAAGGGTTGGGGATGTGCTCTCCGGTGGTAGCAGTGAAGGGTGGGGTGGTGGCAGTTTGGTGGCAGCAAGGTGGATGCCACCTCTTCCTTCCTTTTTCTGGGCAGAAACAGATGAGAGGGAGATGTGAGGTGGTGTTTGGGGTGACGTTTTTGATCAGAAGAGGGAGGTATAAGGGTGGTTTTGGGTGGTGGGTTATGGTGGTTTCTTGGTTGGAGAGAGAGAGAGAGAGAGAGAGAGAGAGAGAGATGGGTGGGGTGGGTGGGCCCCCTTTATATTAAATAAATATATATATATTTTTTAAATAAGACAAAACTTCATAAATGGTCCCCTGTAGTAGTGAAATGACCGAAATGCCCTTCATTTAACGGCCAAAAGCTAACGGAGTTAACGAAAATGACCATTTGTTAAAAGTTTTGAAACCACAGGGACGATCCGTGAGGTTTTTTGAACTTAGGGACTAAACTTGATATTTTTGGAAACCACAGGGACCATTTTTGAAGTTTTGTCTTATTTAAATTAAATAAATGAAAATTTTCAACTTACTAATAACAGTTAGATCAAGTCTCGTAACATGGAATATGCATTTTTCTTTTTAGTAATGTCAACCCTATCAGTTAAATGGTTAAACAAACATGGAAGAACATGTTAACCGCATTCATCAAAATGATCTTAGAGGATCCAAGATAGAAGTTTATATGGAAACTTTTTAACAAATAAGCATGTTAAAGTTATGGTTTTTTTTTTCCAATAAGTTATATGTATCCGTAAAATGAGTTGACGAATAAGGATGTTTGTTTAGATAAATTGACTTTTTTTTCCTAAAAGGAATAACTCATTTGAAGAGGCTAAATGACCAAATTGTTCTTTAATTTAAATAAATAACATAACATAACATAATAAAATAAGTCTACTTTGATCATTATTATAAATTGGGTTATTGTTATTGTAGCCAACAATGTTTAGTATATTGGTTAAAATGGTTCCTCTTGATTTTTTTTTATATTTTTTTTTTTGTCTTGAAGGGTACGAACTTTTGTTTTTAGGTTTTAAAATGTTATTTTTGAAAATTTGAAGGGATCACCCGGTGACCTCATCCTAATTATCAGTTCGCATATGCCACATAATTGTCATGAAGATGGAACTAATCCACCTCATTTGCCAGGTTGGTGTGAGAGCTATGACCAAATTAGAAAATTTTCATGTTCCCAACTTGTTCACCAGCAGTGATAAAGAAAAAAAATAAGGGTTTGGTTTAATGAACATATAGAGAACTCTTGCAAAAGGAACAAGATTGATTGAGTGGTTATAATGATTATTTTCCCCCAAAATCAAAAGCTTAACCCCAAAATCATTGTCAATTGGTTGGATTTGCAATGGAGGTTCGTAAATTGCATGGGGATACAAAGGGTTTTGAGAAACAGATTGCAATCAAGTTCACTCTTCTCTCTCATGTCTTGTTTTCTCTCTTTTCGTGTTTCTGGAACACACACACACACACAAAAGCATCTAAGATCGGAGTTCTTGAATTTTGTTGGGTTTTATACATGAGCGCGCACACACACATATTCACATTCGATTTCTGCAAAATATCAAATTATCTAGGTTTTCTGGAATTTCCTGTTGGTTTTTTTGGTTTTCAAAAATGATTTTAGTTTCAATAACTCAAGAAATCGTTTATGTATCTGTGTTCAGGAATTGAAGAAATAATGTTATTGGTTTGAAACAAACACAAACCCAGAACTTAAGATCCTAAATTAGGTTCATAGTGAAGCAAATCTTTAATTTTGTGATTTTTATTATTGAATTTGGTTCTTGAGTTCCAAAAACGATGATTAGTGAGCAAAACCTAGAAGGTCGATTTTGTTTAAATCTTTCATGGAACATTTGTTCTTAACAAACAGTCAAATAGATCTGGAATCAAATTGTTTCAGATCTTCCATGGTTGGTGTATTGGGAGGCAGAGGCTACCATCTCTTCGCCATCGGCATCGACACTTCTGAAATCCACAACGAAAACGTATTGAATAACTAAAATCCCAAAAATTTCGAAACTTGAAGTTATCTTCAAGAACAAAAAACCTTGAATCCTTGAAATCGTCTTCAAGAACAAATTAAGGATCGACGATTGCCATGTATTTAAGAACAAAAAAATCTGGAAATCTTGAATCCATATGTCATGTATCTGGGTATCCGGAAGACAGGAAGTGTTTCCAAGGGTTCTAGTGTTCTTGATTTTGAAGATTTTACGTGGTAACTTTGTTTGGGTGTTTTTGATTTTGTGTCTTGCTTTTCTCTCTAAAGAACCAAAGGTTTGGGTATTCTTGCTTTTCTCTCTGATGAAGAACACGAAGTTTATTTTGTGCTTATGCATAATAACTCTTGGCTTACGTGACAACGATGAGTTGACTCACCACTAAGGTGTCGTTTGTTTTTTCGAAGTGAAAATGTCTAAAAGTCTGCGAACCACCTCTGCAACCCTAGCAGAAGAGGGAACCAAACGGCTGCAACATGTAATAAAAAGTATGTTTGGTTTTTAACCTCTGCAGATTGCTGCAATAAGTTAAAGTAAGGTGTGGAGAAGTTTGAAGCAGAGGGTAAAGTGTTACGCCACGCAACACACGCGCAACAGTTTTTAAGTCAGAAGTCTTCTGAAAAACAAACAGCTGCGAAAGGTCAAGTGCTGCGCGACATAACAATAAGTGGTCAGAAGTGGTTTTTAGAAAAAACAAATAGCACCTAAGTCATTGTTGATTCACCTGCTTAGTTAGTAGTTGATAAAGCGATGTAACTTTCAAAAATGAGTTAAGATACAAAATTAACTGGTAAAACACAAGTTCATACCTTTTAAAGGCAAAAAAAATCACGAGAAACCATTTAAACCAATATACGAAATATTGTTGGGCTTCGATGACAATAACCCTCGACCCTTAAAAATAATCTCTCTTTTTAAGAATTTGTCTAGTAGTATATCATTGTCACAAAATATAAATATAAAAATGGAACAGCTCCTCCCATCGTCCCCGCGCACATATATAAACACAGTAGGCGAAAGAGCAATATTAAGCTAAAAAGGCACATCCATTTCATTGTCTCACCAAATGGACAATAAGCAATCCTTCAACGGTTACGGCAAGGTCAATCATGGTGAAGAACAAGCTTTCCATCGCAAGAGTCGTAAGCGCATCGTCATCATTATCATCTCCACCGTCATCCTCGTTGCAGTTATCATCGGAGCCGTTGCCGGAACTGTCATCCACAAACGTAACAATAAAGACTCCGATGAGCAAGAACAACTTTCCTCCGCCCAATCCATCAAGGCTGTTTGTACTCAAACTCAGTATCCAGAATCTTGTTACTCCAGCCTTTCCGCCATGGATGAATCCAACACCACTGATCCAGAAGAGTTGTTTAAGCTTTCCTTACAGGTCGCTTTGTCTTCTCTCTCAGACTTATCTTCCTTGCCGGAGACTTTGATGAAGACAACAGACAATCCGAATGACAAGGAAGCGTTGAAATTATGTGGAACAGTATTGAACGACGCCATTGATAATCTCCATGATTCCATTTCTTCCATGGACGTGAAATCCGGTGAGAAGGTGTTATCATTGAAGAAAATCGACGACCTGAGAACATGGCTGAGCGCCTCCTTGACTAACCAACAAACTTGTTTGGATTCCCTCGAAGAAATGGATTCAACATTTCTCGTACAAGTGAAATCTCAAATGCAGAATTCAACGGAATACACAAGCAACAGTTTGGCAATTGTTACTAAAATTATAAGGATTCTGGCGAATCTAGATATCCCAATTCATAGAAAGTTGTTAGGGGAAATGAAATCTGGGTTTCCGAGATGGGTCGTAGCCGGTGACCGGAGGTTGCTTCAGGAGGGAAGGCCGACACCCGATGTGACGGTGGCGAAAGACGGAAGTGGCGACGTAACCACCATTAACGATGCAATGGCAAAGGTACCCATGAAGAACAAGAATCGGTTTGTAATTTACATCAAGGAAGGAGAGTATTTAGAAAATGTTGTTTTGAACAAGTCTTTCTGGAACGTCATGATTTACGGCGACGGCATGGATAAATCCATAGTTTCCGGCAGCTTAAACAAAGTCGACGGCGTCGGAACTTTCAACACTGCCACCTTAGGTATATATACAATCTTCCATCAATTTCATATCATAAAACTAATGTACAACTACGTTCCCTTTTAGTTAATATTATACAATCAAAATTCAAATCAGGTGTATCTGGAAAAGGATTCATAGCAATGGACATGGGATTCAAGAACACCGCCGGTGGAATCAAAGAACAGGCAGTAGCGATGAGGTCGAGTTCAGATTTGTCAGTTTTTTACCGATGTTCATTTGACGCTTTCCAAGACACTCTTTACCCTCATAGCAACCGTCAGTTTTACCGGGAATGTAACGTCACCGGCACAGTTGACTTCATCTTTGGCAACTCCGCCGTGGTTTTACAGAACTGCAGGATTATGCCACGGCAACCATTGCCCAATCAATTCGTAACCATCACCGCTCAAGGAAAAACAGACCCAAATCAAAACTCCGGTATCTCGATCCAGAAATGCGAGATAACCCCTCTGAATAATCTCACAGCTCCGACTTACCTAGGCCGGCCATGGAAGGATTACTCGACCACCGTGATCATGCAGTCGAGTATCGGAGGGTTTTTGAATCCGCTGGGGTGGGCAGAGTGGGATCGGGGTGTGGAACCACCGTCGTCTATATTCTACGCCGAGTACCAGAACTCCGGCGAAGGATCGGCGGTTGATAAACGGGTGAGTTGGTCTGGATATAAACCGAGTTTAACGAGTTCCGAAGCGGCTAAATTTAACGTCAGGTCTTTCATTGACGGAGCTATGTGGTTACCTCAAACAAATGTTGACTTTGACTCCACTTAATTCATGCTCATTTAAACGATGTTAATTAATTGTGTATGTGATAATCCCTCTGAATTTTTGTATTTATTTTCTTGTGATATTTAAAATTACTAACAAAAAAAAATCATGTTTATGTTAATTTTTATTTAATTTTATTTATGAATATTAATTTGTTTTAGTTATTATGGTTGTTGAGATAAATCGTTGGCGCGTAAATTGGGAAGGCATAACGGAATCGAGTACCTAACTCGCACTCACTGACCAAGCCCAGCCATACGCATTTGTTAATCGGGTGCCCTTCAAGTTATCTATTACTTACGAAAACAGCCCTATTCTTTCAACAATGTCAATTTAAACCCTAAAACAAATACATTAAAATTTCTCATAGTTTATCAAAGGGTTAATGTCACAAGATGTACAAAAATAACTTTTAACTTACTATTTTAAGTCATTCTTCTTTAAATTTTATTTAATAGACCAATGATTTTTGTTCATATATTTCATTACACCATTAGAGTTGATTTTAAATTTTGATATTCAACATCTTAATCGGCATCTAATAAGATAGAATTTATTTAGTTATGTTCATATAAACATTTTATCCTAGCCATAACCTATCAAAACTCGAAAATAACAACAAACAGTGGACACAAGGTAAGGTTGAAATCAATTCTAATGTATTGTGTACAATAAAAAAAAGTGACATAATAAGAAAATTGAGAGTTTTCATGGTCTTTTGTACATTAACTAACCCTTTATCAAAAATTCACATTCTCAATGAACAATAGAAATATTGAAATATATTGTAAATAAAATTTATTAATATCATATGTTTTTGAACAGATGTGAGTGGAAGGAGCTTATGATTAAGTAAAAAAAACTACAAGGGGGAGTTATGCTAAGTAGGAGATAGATTGAGGGTAAAAGTTGGAATAAAGTTGAAATGGGGCCGCGTATCGGAGTTTTTGAAAGCGCAAGCATACGTTTGATCATTGATGGTGGTTGCGGTTCTCTGAGTCTCTCCAAATGCGGAAATTCGTAGGTGAAAGGGCAAAAAGGTTGATCGCCAACAACACGATCGCTTCCGTCGTGAAATTGAATCAATATCAAACAACATCCACGCTTTCTTCTTCGAATAATTGCTGTAATAGATCACATCTCCCTCGATTACCCTCGTCTCTGAATTCACACCTTCGTTCTTACTCAGTCATGGCTTCAAAAGGATCAAAAACAGCCCCTGTTACTCTTGAAACGCTCAACCCTAAGGTTCTCATTTCTCTTGTTATTCCTCTTTTCAACATGCTCATGAATGGGTGTCTTTTGTTAATTGTAAGGTCTAGCTTCTATGCTTCACTAATCCAGAGATGATCAACGTTTTGTCACTACATTGTTAACGAAAAGTAAGAGACCTTAATAACAACTGAAATTTCTGTATACGAAAACAAGCCTCAATGATTCTGGATCGAACATAAGTCCATCTACTTGATCTAAACGAATTAGTACTTCGTGGATTTTCACTATACTAGTACATTGTTAACCTATTACATTTCTCCATTTCCAGGTATTAGAATGTGAATATGCTGTTCGTGGTGAGATTGTCTCTATAGCTCAGGTAATAAAACAAATCATGTTTTCTAGAGAATCAAATTTAAGCATTAAAGCACCTATCCACAGCTATCATTAATGGAGATATTGAGACTCGATTTTAATTCGATCACAGAAATTACAGCAAGACTTGCAAACAAATCCAGGTTCCAAACCTTTTAACGAGGTATCACTTTCTCACACGCTATCTCTTATGATGTTTATAATCACAATGAAAAATTAATATACATTCTATTGCAAGTGATTGTTTCAAATCTGGCAGATTCTTTACTGTAATATTGGAAATCCACAAGCTCTTGGTCAAAAACCTATAACTTTCTTTCGAGAGGTTCTTGCATTATGTGACAATCCTTCCTTATTAGACAAGAGGGAAACAAATGGTTTGTTTAGGTATGGATTAATGATAGCTTTTTATAAGAATCAGGTTAACAAATATCTTTACTTAATTACTTTTGACTTCTTCCAGTTCGGATTCCATAGCAAGAGCATTGATGATCTTGGATCAAATGCCTGGAAGAGCTACTGGTGCATATAGTCACAGTCAGGTAACTTAATTTCTGCACATAAATAATAAATTTTAACCTGAAAGTGGAATAAAATGTTTATTTTTTGGTAATAAAATCAGGGTATTAAGGGATTGCGTGACACCATTGCTGCTGGAATTAAAGCTCGTGATGGTTACCCTGCTGATCCAGATGATATCTTCTTGACAGATGGTGCAAGTCCAGGGGTAAAATCGACTTTTTCGTGCTCTTAAACTAACCATTTCAATGTCAAATGAATCAACTTAATTAAATCTTTCATTTTCAGGTCCATATGATGATGCAGTTACTTATAAGATCAGAAAAGGATGGAATTTTATGTCCCATTCCTCAGTATCCTCTTTACTCTGCTTCTATTGCCCTTCATGGTGGCACTCTAGTATGTACTTTTTTATTTATTTAAAAATAAGACATTTTTTAATATGTAAAAGAAGTTTAGTAAAATAATTATTACTGATTTTTCAGGTTCGTTATTATCTTGATGAAGCAACCGGGTGGGGACTGGAGGTATCTGAACTCAAGAAACAGTTAGAAGCTGCCCGACAAAAGGGTATTACTGTTAGGGCATTGGTTGCAATTAATCCGGGCAACCCAACAGGGCAGGTAAAAAAAAAAAATGCATTCTATTTACCATTTTTAGTAAAAATGGTAAAATTACTTTTCACTCTTGTTGATACTTCATAGGTTCTTGCTGAAGAAAACCAAAGACAAATTGTCGAATTTTGCAAGAAAGAAGGTTTGGTTCTTTTAGCAGATGAGGTAAAAAAAAAAAAAAAATCTCTTCCATATATGATTACCCGAGTTGAAAAGGGTAAATTGGACATTTTCGTAAACCAACTTTTGCAGGTATACCAAGAGAATATATATGCACCTGACAAGAAATTTAACTCATTCAAGAAAATCTGTCGTTCAATGGGATATGGTGACAAAGATATCCCCTTGGTTTCTTTTCAATCCGTATCTAAAGGTATATATAAATAAATGAAATAACATAATATTCAAAATGTTGAATTTATATAAAAGATTGTTTTTTTTTTATAAAAAGGGTATCATGGTGAATGTGGGAAAAGAGGTGGTTACATGGAGGTAACTGGTTTTAGTACTGAAGTTAGACAACAATTTTACAAGTTGGCATCTGTGAATCTTTGCTCCAATATTTCTGGTCAAATTCTTGCAAGTCTTGTCATGAGTCCCCCAAAAGTTGGAGATGAATCTTATGATTCCTATTTTAGTGAGAGAGATGGAATCTTGAAATCATTGGCTAGACGCGCTAAGGTTAGTTTATTTTTTTCATAATAGCAACATACTTACATTGTCTTAGTGTTTAAAGGGTGTAAAATGTTTTGAATTATTTTTTATAGAAATTGGAAGATGCATTCAACAGCTTAGAGGGTGTGACATGTAATAAAGCGGAAGGAGCAATGTATCTTTTTCCGCGAATTCAATTGCCAAATAAAGCGATAAAAGCTGCAGAAGAAGCTAAGAAAGCAGCGGATGCGTATTATGCGATTCGTTTACTTAATTCTACTGGTGTTGTTGTGGTACCTGGTACTGGTTTTGGTCAGGTAAGAATGTTTTTGTTTATTAAATAATATTAATTAATGGATTAAATGGGTGTTTTATTTATGTTGTATGCTGGGTGGTGATTTGTGACAGGTCCCGGGGACGTGGCATTTTAGGTGCACGATATTGCCTCAAGAGGATAAGATTCCGGCTATAGTTTCACGGTTGACGGATTTTCACAAGAAGTTTATGAATGAATTTCGTGGTTAGATGTGCGTCTTTTTTTTTTTTTTTTGCATAATGATGAGCATTCAAACAACTTCTTAATAATGATCTTAGTTGTTTGATTTTTTTATTAAGTCGTGTATTGATAAAGTGACTGAATAGGTAACAATGTTTATTTGGATAAATTGCTACATACATAAGATCCGTTTTTTTCTAGATTGAAAAAAAATCAAATGATCATTTTGCCCTTTCATTCTAATAAACTATTTTCATACATACTACTTGTCAATTTTAACAATATACATCAATTTTAACATGAAAAATACATTAAGGCAGATTTGTTTATCATAACTCATTAAGTCATTCTATCCAGATTAAATCAAAGACAAAAAAACCATTTATAGATGTCTAAATTAAGAGTTTAACCCATTAAGCTTATCAAGTCAAAAAGAAACAATCTTTTTCTTCCATCCAAGGATTGAAAATCTGTTTACATAAAGACCACTGACGCATAGAGGTGGAGATGATCCAAAGACAAATTCACCTTTTAGACATGAATGGTTCTTGTGAAATTTGGACAAAAATAACATTTTTAAGCTTAAAAAGACTTGAATTAAAATATATCTGTAAAAGAAGCTATATGTTTTTCAACAACACTCGTTAAATCTTTTAAACAAAGTTCTAGGTCTCCAATTTTAATTCCATGATTTTTGACAATCATAAAAAGGATCTCATGTTCAAATACCATAAATGAACAGAAACATAATAAAATCTTGGCAATTTAGTACAAAATACATTTTTTAAGGAAACCAAACGAAAACGTCTACAACTTGTCAATAAAACTCTTCCCATTTCATAGGCGACCAATAACAGCTTCCACCTCAGCAGGGGTGTACAAGTGATAAGTAGGCGCCACCTTTGCAATATCCACATTGTTGGGAGTTACCTTAAAACAAACAAAAATGTTACATAAGATCTTCCTTGCTAACAACATATATTTACATATAGCTTACTACAAAATAAAAAACAAATAAATACTGACCTTTTCTTCCATGACTTGCTTCAAGATGGAAAGAGCAATAGTCTCAGCTTCTTTTAAAGTCAAATCCTGTAAATACCAGAATCAGCAAATCCAACATTTGGGTGAATGGAATTGGAGATATTAAAATGAAATGAAAACTATATAAAACCTTGTTGTATTGCTCCTGAAGAGAACTGTCAGCACCTTCAGACCCTGACCCTATAGCTTTCCCATTACATTGCCAAAATGTGCCTGATGGATCCGTATAGTATCTGCATATATCAAAAGTTTCATAAAAGGTAAATTTCAAGAAATAGCAACACACAATTTGCACTTTTATAAATGTTATCTACCACTTATTATAAAACCCTAAAAAAATATTGGTACTTACAGACTGGGACCATTTTCATCATGGCCAGCAATAAGAAGGGAGACTCCAAAAGGTCGAGACTGCAAAAAGAATACAAGTTTTTTTTTTTTTTAAATGTTAGTTGAATAGTTGAAATAAGTTGAATTACTAACCATAGATTCTTCATCCCCTTCACCAAATCTCAGTGCCAGATCACAGAGAGCTTGGGTGGTGGACTCAACAGTCATTGGCTCACCATAGGAGAATCGATGATTCTGAAATACAATAATTAGATATTGAGATCAATGTGGAAGTGGAATTCTTTTATAATAAATTATATAGTGACTGATATATAATAACAATAATGTCACCTGAGTTTCAACTCGTGCATGTTCAACAAGTGTACGTGCATCTGCAATTAGTCCACTCATGGCACACCCAATGTGCTCATCAATTTCCATAATTTTCTCAACACTACTAGGCTCCTGAAAATAAAACATGCAATGTTTGAGTATATGTCAATTCTATTTCATAGTTTGGATTCTACGATTATTTAGCCACCATTTTGATTTCATTGTAGAACTTGCATCAACTTAAATAGTTAAGTGGCAAAATGTTGTTACACAAACCATATGAAAGAAAGTAATGTAACAGATAGATGTCCCCAATTATCAACCATCTACAATTCTAGTAACAGTGTTCAAACATCTAAAACCAGACCTACACATCAATGGAGAAGATATAATGGACATACCAGGAGTGGAGAGGTAATTCTCTTTTCAACAGCAAGAACAACTCCTTCCTTGGTCTTCAATCCAATAGCAGTCGAACCCAACTGTCATCATAACCAACAGCCAAACACACACATATAAAAATCATTTCATGGTATTCATAACATTAGCCAATAGCCGATGATCAATATATATACCTTAATGGCCTCAATGGCATATTCAACCTGAAATAACCGGCCTTCTGGAGAGAAGGTGTTAACACCTCTATCATACTCAGTCCTACATAAAACCCAGACATCAGCTTAAAAAACAGCGATTTTGGGGGAACCACTTCATACTTTGAAAAGAGACAAGGATAAAAGTTCCGGCTGGATTTTATTTGTCAGTTGAGTGAGAAGCCTGGAAACTACGTCATTCGAAATGGAAGATCGCCGATCAATTTTAGGGCAAGGAAACATGACGGACGGCTTACCCGTCGCCGGACGTCACTCATTGTGGTTTTGTCGACTGAAGAAAATAAGATTCTGAACCCGAAGAAAAAACCAGATTTGTAATCAAAATGCCTTTACCTGGTTAGAAACATCTTCGATTGAATTTAACGGCTTTATAGATCTCTGCAATCGATTATGGTAATCAGTACAGATAATTAGGTTCCAGAAACGAAACTAATTAGATTTAAGGGTTTAAATTGGTGGACTTAGCCGACTAAAGCAATATCGTAATTCAATGTTAACCCATGCCATGAATCAACGAATCAAATACATACCTGTTGGTGGTAAATGAGCTCGGAAAGAGGAGATTGGCGACGTACTCCGATCGAAATTGCTTCCAATTTTCTTTCTTAGTCTATTTATTCGAGTATAAGCCCTTCTTGGGAAGCAAGCCATCAGTGGCTTCTTGTTGGTAGAACGGGTCGAATCCTCGGTCTAACCCGACCCAAAATAGAGTACCAGAGATAAAGCCCAATAATTCGGGCTCTGTCTAAGGCCCATAATTGACTTACTTGTTCGACCTTATTGGACCCGTCTGCCCCATTACTTTTGGTAATATTTAGGCGTTTGGAAGAGAAGCACATCCAAACCGGTTCAATCGGTTTTCAGAAATAGACTCGGATACATTTAGGACTGGGATAAAACCGAACATTTTTAGGCGGTCTAGGTTGGTCCCTGCTTTCATATATATTGGTCCTTGACCTTGAGCAATTTTAAGTAGGTTTTGGTTAGACCATTGAGTCTCGGGTCGATCATCAATGGCTATATTTAAGCCAGGTTCCGTCTCCAACCTTTTTATAATTACCTTATAAATACCTCATACTTTCCAACCATTTTTTCACCCCAATCATTAATTCTATTTAACTATCTAATACACATTCTTACCGATCTCTTGTATCTAAAGTCTAAACAATCGTAAAATATCCAAAGTTGAAGGAAGTAGTTCCTATAATAGTCAGTTGCTTTTTGATCCACAGGCACCATCAAAGGATGTCCCAAAGCAAATTGTATTGTACAAATTTAGAATAATTTTCCGCAACTCAAACAAAAAAAAAAATCCTTGTTAGATGCAATCGATGTCAACAAGTTAGATCTGGATCTCATAACATGCTAGATCGAGATACAGAATTTTCATAATTCTTATTTTTCATTTTAATAGTTTAGTCAATTTATAATTCACGTATAGTGTCATTAACTCACAATGTTTGGACTCCTCCACATGGTAACACAGTATCATTTTTTTGGATCAATCTAAACACATGGTTTTATATACAAAGGTTCTTGTTTTCGAAAATTTTCACCACCCACACAAGGATAAACAAATATAATATATTTTAATGAGATTTATAAAAGTTTTTAATATATATGATAAATGTAGCGTCCCAAAATTTAAGACCAAAAATTTCATTTTTATAACAGATAAACTATCATCCAAAACATTTTCATAAAAACCATAATGATATCAGAATATGTCAAAATCATCCAGTTACATCAGAGTCAAATAAAATGTGGAACAACATGGTGTGTGTGATGCGATCACCCCGAGCTCTTCCTTTTCGATCCGGAAGTACCTGAAACATAAACTGAAAACCGTAAGCCGAAGCTTAGTGAGTTCCCCAAAACACCATATACCATACATATCTAACATACAATGGGCCATTGCCCAACACCCATCAGACCTCGCTCGGCATCGAGCCCCGCTCGGAACAGATCTGTCAATATCATGAGATGGGCCCCGCCTCATCACATCCATCAAGCCCCGCCTGCCTTCGGGGCCCCGTCCGGTATACATATAGACACATAACAAATGCAATAACTACTAAGGAACATACCCATAAAGTCGAATATTACAATTCTCCCCGACTTGAATCAGGCTTCGCCCTAGAAGTCCGATGCCGCAAATAACTTTGGGTAATGCTCCCTCATCTCGTCCTCTGGCTCGCACGTCCATTCTGAATCCTTGCGGTGCTGCCATTGTACCTTTACCAACTCAACAACCTTGTTCCTCAAGGTTTTCGTCTTCATATCAAGAATCGACATCGGTCTCTCGATATAATTCAAGCGATCATCCACCCGAATATCCTCCAATTGAACCACAACGAAATCATCAACCAAACATTTCCGTAGCTGAGAGATATGAAACGTGCTATGGATCTGACTAAGCTACTCGGGAAGATCCAAGCGATAAGCAACCCGGCCCACCCGGTCCAAAACCCTGAAAGGATCGATGTACCTGGGGCCCAACTTATCACTCCTCCTGAATTGGATGACACCTTTCCAAGGTGAAACCTTCAGGAGAACCATATCCCCAACCTGGAACTCTAGGTTTGATCGGCGCTTGTTAGCATAGCTCTTCTGCCGACTCTGTGTTGTCTGAAGTCTACCCCGAACCTGCTGAATCAACTTGGTAGTCTTGAGTACCACCTCGGTACTCCTCATGACTCGCTTGATGACCTCACTCCAGCATATCAGGGTCCTGCATTTCCTCCCATAGAGCATCTCAAAAGGAGGTCGTCGATCGATGCTGGCATGATAGTTGTTGTTATACAAAAACTCCGCCAAAGGGAGGTACGTATCCCAACTCCCACTGAAATCCAATACACATGCCCGCAACATATCCTCTAAGGTCTGGATAGTCCGCTCACTCTGTTCGTCGGTCTGCAGGTAGAAAGTCGTGTTGAAGTGCAGACGAGTACCCAACTCCTCATGGAACCTCTTCCAAAACCTGGAAGTAAACAGGGCATCCCTGTCTGAAACCATTAAAACCAGCACCCCATGTTGCGCCACAACCTCCCTAATGTAAATGTCGGCCAACTTCTCCGTAGATAAACTCTCCTAAATCGGAATGAAATCCATGCTCTTGGTCAATCAAGCCACGATGAACCATATCGAATCCACTATGCGCTGTTCGGGGCAACTTCGTGATGAAATCCATGGTAATCTTTTCTTATTTCCAAACGGGAATGTCTAACAGTTGCCTCTTGTCGCGAGGTCGCTGATGTTCAGTCTTGACTCCATCCAAACATGACGCATAACAATATCATACAATCAATCAACCATATACGTCACAAATACTATCCTAGTCAACAAGCATATTCATACCCTAACAATACCTATATCTTATCATAAAAAGGATATACAATATCACGCGTATAGTGAAAAGACTCACTTGAACCGGAAATTAAAGAATCGTTGCTGCAAACATGAATACTCGCACAGATCAAACTCGCAGACCGACTAAACACCAAAAAAAAAGTAAAACCTCAGTCTAACCACAAAGTTTGACCCAAAGTCAAACTTAGTCAAAAGTCAAAGAGTCTACGAAAACAGTTAAGGGCATTATGTGCCACTTCCTAGGTGCCTGGTGCCCACAACAGGACAAATTAGTTGTGATTCCGAAAGAAAAAGCAGAGGAGGCCTACACCCTCAGAAGATGTGTCACATATGAGTCTAAAAATACTTATTAAACGACTTAATCCATTAAGTCAGAAGCACCGATCTCAAATATGAAACTCCTTAATGTCTTAATGGATAAATTTTCAACTTTATCCATTTGGGTGGTCCAAAAAAGCAAGATCTAAAACCCTTGTTCATAAAATGTCCAAAATGCACTTTTCTTCTTGAATGGAGAAAAAGAGAACTCTTGCATGCATTCTTTACTCCATCAAAAAATCATATATGATTCCAAACGTTCTTCATGCACTATGGAGTTCTTCAACCTCCAAGAAACAAACCTCAAAGGGATCAAAAATCACTAAAAGGGATTAAAAACTCAATTAACTTCTACATTTAAGAAGGAAACATTATAAAGCTTGAATCTTTAGAGTTTACCAAGGTCTAAAGGTGTTGAGAAGGCAGATATCTTCAATATCAATGCTTTCTTGCCCATGAATTCATGCATCTTCACCCAAGGACACCATAAGAGCAAAAATAAGCACCAAAAATGAATTTACGAGATAGAATGAGTTCCAAACACTTCAAGAAAGGCTAGAGTTTCATTAGAGACATTTTAGAGGAGATGGAGGCTGAAAATGACAAAACCCTAGGGTTAATGCTCTTAAATAGGCCCAAATCTCGGGGCCTAAGGCCTAAGCCAAATATGCGGGGATGCCTTGTGTCCTCTACTAAGTGTGTCACACCCCATGATTTTTCCTGATGCCTTTGGAAATAATTCCATCCAGCTTTGCTTCTTATTTCTACCATTCCTTGTGTCACACCCCGGCCGGTGGCGGATGGGCGGTGCGAACATGGGGAAATTGGATCGAGGCATAAAAATATATATAGAACATAACACAAAAGTATATGTAACACCCAGAATCTTGAGGAGCAATTGTAAGAAATGAATCCCATTTTGAGGACTGAACACGGTGTGTTGGAGGAACCAACACGACGTGTTTAGTTAAGGAAAAGCGCAGTTCTCATTAAGGTCAACACGGTGTGTTGGAAGCTGGGAAGGAAACCCTAATTTTTAGGATGTTGCACCCTATATAATCTCTTTAATCCCCAAGGGCTGGTCTCCTTACCAGCCTCCATTGACACTAAAACCCTAAAATCGATCCCTAAGTATATTGGTGGTGTTTTTGAGCTAGTAAGAAGCTTTTGGTGCTCATTTTTGGACTTTGTGAAGGAAGAGGAGATCTTGAAGTTGGCTTGCTTGGTGGATTGAATTTGGATCCAGAATCATCATCTTGTGGGAAAGCTTTCTGAGGTAGCAAGTTTGCATCTTGGCTTTTAGGTGTTTAGATCTCTCCATATTGTGCTTTGTTGTACTTTTGGTCCCTTTTTGGGTTGATGAGAGTGTGAAGTCGTTTAAGGGCTTGTTATTCCATATCTGAGTTTGTTTTGGTCCCTTTGAGCATAAATGTGCAAGCTTTATGAGATTTATGGTGTCATGCATGTATTAAGTCAATTAGTAAGTCCCTTTTAAGCTTAAGAGCTTCAGTTAGACATGCATAAACGTAAAGTTGGCAACTTTACGTGGTTTTCCAGCTCAAGGAAGTCAGATTTGTGTTTTGGGGCTATGTCTTTATGGATAAAGTGCTTATTGGTTAAGCCCTTGCTATCAAGCCTTTTTGGTTGGGTTTGGACTTTTTTGGTAGTCCTTATGGGTAAAGATGGAAACTTTACCCTTCTAAGTCTCATTTTGGTCTACATCTGAGCTTTGGAGCTCTTGGAATCGGAGAATGTAGCTTAATGTATTAAGCTGTGGAAACGTGGGCAAACACGACGTGTTTGCAAGCCAACACGGAGTGTTGGCTAGGGTTTTCCCGATTATTTGGATGATGGAAGAACACGACGTGTTTGCAAGTCAACACGACGTGTTTGGTCAACATGGACTGTTGACTTTGACTTTGACCAGAAGTTTGACCAGGGT